AAGTTCTCTAGAATCACATCACAGTACAGGCATCTCTGAGCCTCATCAAGTAGCCTCCATTCCTCCCAGGAGAAGCACATGAACACATCTTCGAAGGTCACATGGCCCTGCTATGATGGCAAAAGATGAAACCCCAAACAGCCCCTCTGCTGAGAAGCCAAATATATCCCTCCCACCCCAACATCTACTGTACACCTTCTCCTAAGCAATCTAATGCAGAGCAACCAGGCCATGGTATTACTGGTGCTGCTGTTTCTTCATGGGCCCATTGATAACTGGGTAAAGCCATCAGCAGCAAAAAGCAGATTGACAAGTAATGTATCTAAGCTGTGGGACTAGCACAGAAGGATGTACCCCATCTACAGGTAATCCCCCTGGTATGGCCACTACCACGTTATTCTCAATTCAGTGTCCTAGACAACCAGACATGCTACCTGTGCAACCACACATCACTCTTTATAATGTCTACCACTCATATCTCCGGATCCCTTATCTACATGCCCATGCCACTACAATCAATCTCTGTGCCTAACATTTGTATTTCAATTAGCTCCTCACACTGGTAAGGGTGTGATTCCCACACTAGGTGTGGTCACACTCACACCACCTGATGCTGGACAGATGCAGTTAACATCTTTACTAACCTCACATGCTTGCAGCCTGGGAGAGGACACCATACAACACACAAGGCCACATGAAGGCTGCACTCCAGAAAAGACTGAACAACCAGAGGCCATGTTTGTGAGACTGAGAGGATAAGATGTCCCAATTCCTGCAGGAGGATGTGACCAACTTGTTTAAGTATTTCTGCAGCTTGGTAGGGAACAAAACCCACTACAAAGGGATCAGCAGGAACTGTGCCTGCTCCCCAGTTAACAAGAGCTGTGAGGCTACAAGACTGTATCTCTGAGAGCAGAGTGTGGAGAGAAACTTACAACAGGTCCAACTGAGGGTATCCTGGTTTCACCAGACATCAGGATAGCACATCTATTTCCCTTAATTTTAGGATTTAACTGCAAAACTTGGTAGAGAGCATCCACCTCTAAGAGCATTCTTAGCAAATTTGAACAGGATCCAGTATTACCAGAAACTTCCCATGGTTCCCATTAGCAATAGCAGCCTCAAACCACTCTATGATGGTCTTGCTATATGCCTTGCATCAGACTTAGCCACATGGACCCATATGTGTGTGAGGGTTCAGAATCAGCCACCTGAAGATGTGCCTCTATTATATGCAAATTCTAAGCTGAAGTAACTGACACCCTGTGGGCTCTGGAGAAACTTCTGTCCCCATTCCCTAAACTATCTAGCAGTGATTTTTGACCAGTGTGCCGCAAGAATTTTTAAAACATGCAATAACTGACCTCTTTTCCCTTAGATTGTCAAAGTAAAAAAAAATTACAACAGCCAAGACAACAATAGCTGTCTAGTGTGAATGAATAAAAATTATACCCTTTCTTTTTTTTTGTCAAACTGGGAAACATATTTTTGGGTATGCTACAGAATTTTAGTAATTAGTTTATGTGTGCCAAGACATGAAAAAAGGTAAAAGTCGCTGATCTAGAAAAATCTGAGCCCTGGCTGGGTAGCTCAATTGGTTAACACATACTCCTGATATGCCAAGGCTGTGGGTTTGATCTCCGTTCAGGATACATACACGAATCAACCAATGAACACACATACAAGTGGAACAACAGAGCAATGCTTTTGTCTCTCTTTTTCTCTGTCCTCCTTCCTCTCTCTCTGTACAATCAATTAACAACAAACTCACCTGCTGTTGGGAATCATCCTGCCTGATTTCATGAACTGTAACCTCACTGACAGGTGAAAAGGCCCCACAGCTAGGGGACCTTGGGACCATAAGCTACTAAGGAGACAAAACTTAGCCTCCTGGCAGGGGTACCACCTCTGCCCTCTTTCCTTCACTCTGCTTGTCTTCTGGAGGATGGCTGGATAGTAAATGATGGATAAGATTCCTCAAGGAAGAAACAACCTAAGACAGGCACAGTCACAAAGGGGCCATCAGGGAAGGACTTAGGGAATTATGGAGGAAGGACAAAAGACCCTCACCCCTCACCTTTATCATAGCCTGAGTTCTCATTCTGTGTGTAAAAAGTCTCCTAATCTCTTGACTGACTTGTTTCCCCCACCGGATTCAGGACTGAAACAATGTCAAAGGGGGATGCAGCCCTGTGCAAAAATGAGTGGTTCCAGGGTCTGGATGGGCCAATCACACCTGAGAAAGAATGCATCAAATCTGAAACCTGCTTTGCTAAGAATGCCCTCAATTTAAATGTTAAGGGTCCAAACATAAAATGAGTTTGTTTCCCAAGGTTTTACAGCCAATTGTAAACAGGGTCTGTATACCAAACCCTGACTGAAAAGAACCCCCATGATCCCAGAAATGTAATCATCTGTAAACCTTACGTGCATGCTATGTATATCAATGCAAACTAAACTCAATAAAAGCTCATTGAGAAAGAGGCTTGAGGCCCTTCTCCTCTGAGATTGGTCAGCCTTTTCTCCCCAAGCAGATCATGTCTTGGTAGCAGCCAGGAGAGCTCTGCTGGATGGAGCTCCCTATTGAGGAGCTCCACCTCCACAACACACACACAGAGCCAGATTCCAGTCCATTTCTTAAGCCACGTCTCTGGTCCATTAACTCCACCTGGATGGTGGTAGTAGACTCCATGCTAATATGCCTTCCTTCTCCCTCAAGCCCACAATGGGTTCTCCACCAAGCATCCAGTAGAAGCCTGTTAAGGTCGGAATAATATCACTTCCTCCCTACGACCAGTTTTTTCTCGAAGCACATGCACATCTGGCTAACTTTCCACACTTGTTATATTGGTCATCCATAATGGAAACACCTCAGTATACACTCCACACAAATGGATTCAACACCCTGGGCTTGGGGTTTCTCCATAGTCCTCAAACTCAAGAACTGGAAAAATGGCACTAAGAGTCCCAGGAAACTGTCCTGGTAAGGTAGTTCTGTTGGTTAGATTATTGTTCTGATATGCCATGGTTGCAAGTTCGATCCCCAGTTAGGTTCACACAGTGGCCTAGTTAGGGCACATGCAAGAATCAACCAATGAATGCACAAATAAGTGGAACAACAAATCAATGTCTGTCTCTCTTTTCCTTCCCCTCTCTCTCAAATCTATAAATATTTTTTAAATCAAGATAAAGAATAAAGAGCTCTGATGCCATCACAGGAAAAACTGTATTTTTTTTTTTTTAAAGCCCTGACCAGTGTGGTCCAATTGGTTGGGTGTCAGCCCACAAAGCAAAAGGTAGCAGCAGGTTCAATCCCTGGTCAGAGCACATGCCTAGATTGAAGGCCTAGTCCCTGGTCGGGGCACAAGTGAGAGGCAACCAATGAAATTTCTCTCATCTTCTCTTTTCCTTCCCCTCTCGAAAAATAAGTAAATAAAATCTCTTTTAAACAAAATCCCAGGAAATCACAATCCAAGGAACACAAGAGAGGAGCTGGGTTAGTGAGGGTCTGTGACACCCTGTGGTTCCATAAGCACTAGGGAAACCTGTACTGAAGAGGCCTTAGAAAAATGCGGGTCCCTGGAGGGGTTCCACCTGCTCACACCTCCCTGTACCCTCCCCGTGCTGTCCCTGGAGCCCGGTGACCTCAGTCAATTCTGCTGGCCGTCTAACTTCTGTGGTCTCTTACAGTCCGGTGTGAACTGAACAGAGAACAACCTCCCCGAGCCTCGGTGAACTCAGCAGTCCCTCCAGTCTGTTTTTTCCTTTGAATGGCCTCTGGGGACATTAGAAAACCCTAACTGAGATCATGCGTCTTTTTGTTCAAATCCCCATCCCCCTAGCTTCTAGAGTCCTCACAATAAGAGACAATCCCCCCCCCCCAAAAAAAAAGAGACAAGCCCAGCTTGCCACCCCAGCTGTCACTCCGCCTCACTCTCTGCTCCCCCAGGGCTGGAGAATCCCAGAGTCCTGGATCCTCCGGGATCAGCAGCCCCTTTGCGTATTCAGAGGGCGGCCCCTCAGCCCGTCACCCACCCCGTCACACAGTGTGTCACCCATGAGAGCCTCATGGTCCAGACACCAGACTGGGCTGCAAGGCTCCGCGAGATGAGGCGGGGAAGGCCAGGAGGAAGTGCACTCTCCTTAGCGGCGCCTCTGCGAGGCCGCCGTCCCACTCTGTGTGAGGAACCTAGCGGAGTGGCAGGGAGGGGGTCCTCATTCCGGAGCTGGCACGGACCACCTGGGAGGCTCTCTGTCCCGAAAAGTTGCCTCCAAACGCAGGGCTGAGCAGCATGTGATGCAGTGAACGGACCCTGAGAGAAGACAAAGTGCCCACCACAGAGAGTCCAGAAGTGCCTCCTGCATGCCCACCGATGTTAGGAGGCTCAGGAAAATTTTCTGAACTTTCATTGGTCAGCATCGCCGCCAGTGTCTGGCAGCGATCTAGGTAATGCAGTTCCCAAATCCACAGGCCGCGCTAACCGGCCTTCCACGAATCTCCGGTGGAAAAGGACATGCACCACCCCGAGGGACACTGGAAACCGGAGAGTCTAGCTCCCAGGAGAGAGAAGGGGCTTAGCTCCTTCTTAAAGGTTCGGCACTCAGATTTCTGGGGAGCATTGTCTGCAACCAAACCACTCAAGTGTTTGGAGACATGTTATTTCAGAGTCTGTGAAGTTGTGAGGCTAAACATACTCTGTCAGATGCTCCCGAGGATTTTCAGATTCAAATGCACCTATTCTGTATTCATTCACAAAATGTGTCCACTCGTGAAGGAATACGTTGATATCAAAACCGTGACAGCACCTCATTGCTGGAAAGGGACTCTAGCGCATGAGGAATTGAAATTATCTTACAACAACACTTGTAAAATGCAAATTATAGAAAGCCTTTAATTTTTGTAACTATGTAAAGTGAGAGATGCTAGCTAGATTTATGATCACTTCACAATGCATACAAATAATGTTACACACCTAAAACAATATAATGTTATGTGTCAACTATACCTCACTTGTTTAAAATGATTTTATTTATTTATTTTTAGACAGAGGGGAATGGAGGAAGAAAGAGAGGAAGAGAAACATCAATGTGTGGTTGCCTCGTGCACCCTGTATGGGGTACCTGGCCTGTAACCCAGGCACCTGCCCCACCTGGGAATCAAACTGGTGGCCCTGTGGTTCATAGGCCAGCACTCAAACCACTAAGCCAGCAGCCAGGGCTAAACATCACTTTAAAAACTGTTTTAGAAAACTATTAGTAATGACTATGTAGCGATTCGAAGATGGTGGAAGAATTGCCTCTGGGTATCACTGGATAGTGAAAAAAGGAAGATCTCACTTTTAGAAAGTGTATTAGTGATATCTGTGAAAAGACACAATCGCATAATTTAGGGATAATTTGGGGGATTCTTGAATTGTCAAGTTTTTATTATTATTTTTTTACCCTCATCCCAGGACATTTTTCCATTGCTTTTAGGAAGAAAGGAAGGTAGAGAGAGAAACACTGCCCAGGTAGAGACTCCACCCCACAAACCCCGTGAGCATGCTCCCTGATGGAGAATCCAACTGACCAAGGTTCAACCAACTGAGCCACACCAACCAGGGTATGAATTAGCAAGTTTTTAAAGGTCATTATTTTGTTTTGTCATTTGTAATACTTAGGACTATTGTTTTGTACCCTCTAAAATCAAGCTATTTAGCACAAACTTTGTACATACTGCAGAATTGGGGAAAACACACACATACACATACTGCTGCCAGCGACCAGGCCTTCAGTATTCACACTGGGTTGGTTAATGAAGGTCTTTCCCTGCATGAAGCCAGTCCCTAAACACTAGGGAGATGGCTCTCTAGTTTGTAACAATTAAGAGAGCAACTAACCTACCACCTTTGCCTAATCAAGAGAGTAACGTCATATTTGCAAAGGGAGGGGATTATAAACTTTTAACATAAAGGGGTGGAAATCTGGGGGATCACCTTAGAAGTCTGCCTACCACAGTGATTTTGCTAAGGTCCATCTGCACGTGAAGACTGTGAACCCTGGGGAGGGGAGGGAAGACACCAACTAGGATGAATTCCTGGTCGATAACTGGGCTTAATTTTTTTTTTTTTAAAGAGCTCAGCAGCCATTTCTTCACAGGGTCCTCTCACACAAACTACAAAGAGAAGCGTGTGCTGAACTGCTTGCCCGCACCGTGTTCCTGCCACCTAAGCCAGCCCTTATAGTGGAGTTCTAGAAACCTATTTCAACTAACAGTACTGATGCTTTCCCCATCAGAGCTGTGCAGTTCTGCCCATGCAGAGCAGCTCTAGTCTGATTAAATAGGACAGTGACTTTGGGGCCAAACTGCGAGAATTTGGAATCCTCCAGAGGACAGACCAATCGGGGACAAGGGCAGGGATTCCTGTCCACATAAGCCAGCTCCCCTCTGGCTCCTCAGTACATGTTGCTGGACTGAGCCACAGAGCAGCTGGATGGCCCCAAAACTGTTCTACAGCTGTGTTGTATCATATTTGGACTGTTTTATATTGAATAAAGTCCCTGCTTCACTGTACCCCAAATTGGAAATTCCTGTTGGCATTGAATTCATGCCAACAATCATTGGATGACAAGATTCATGTTCTTCCTCTCCTTCTTTTCTTGATACTTGATTAAAAAGCTATCCAGTCTCCTCATGCTGGCATCCATATTCATTGTGTAGTGTATTTCCACCATACCAACCTTGGAGTATGTACAATACTGCCTTCCAATGACCAGATGGATTTGCCATAAACTTTGATAGATTTCAAAGGCACAGAGGTATGCTGAAGCCTGACTTCTCCACTTCCTGGACCTTCACCTGATTTGGAACCCTGGGATATAACTGCTCTGAGAATTGTTAGCAATGGAATGGTGAGGTGGGCACCTTTACTCTGGTACTGAGTTGGCATTCTTAGTCTTCTCATGTAAATGGAAACAAGCTACAAGAATTGGCAGATAGTAGGAAAGTTCTGTTTAATTCAACTGGCTCCTCAGTATAGTCTGGGATACTGCCCCCCAAAATTACTTGTATTTCTGGTTAGGATCAAGGAAAGAAACATTGACAACTCTCTTTCACACTTACGAAGTTGGATTTTTCTCTGCCCAATTACATTACAATTATTCATGAACTATGAGAGCTAAGGTACAAGAACTGCTATATCACATGAGTTTATTTTATCTTACATACTTCTAGTATTCTTTCCTTAGGGTTTGTATGTCCTCAGTCTGACATCCCTGCCATCATTTTCTCCACACTGGGAAGCACGTCCTGCAGCTCTTTCATTTGCTTTCACAGATTTCCCACTTTTGCAAGGTGCACAGCATTCAGTATTTCATTACGTTTACTAACTGTTGTTTACTCTTCAATCTTGTCCTTTCGAAGTGTCTGCTTTTCAATCTAATAACTAAAAGGCAGACATAATGTTATTTAGATACAAATAAATGAGAAATATAAATGGAGAAAAAGAGCTGAGGGAAAAGTATGGAAAAATAAAAATGCAAATAATGGAATTCTCAGGACATAATGAGTATTACCGGTCTGATAAGAATGGTGAAAATTTGAATTTTTAAATTATCCTATTTTCTGTATTTGAATTTTTTAATTATTGTCCCATTTTCTGTATTGAAGCTTTGTTTTAATTGAACTTCTTGGGGTGACATTGGTTAATAAAAATGATATAGGTTTCAGGTATACAGTTCTGTAATACATGATCTGTGTATGGTATTATGTGTTCACCAGCCCAAGTCAACTCTCCTTCCATCACCGTTTATCCCCTCATACCCTCTTCTACCTCCCCCCACCACCCTTCCCCTCTGGTAATCGCCATGCTGTTATCTGTGTCTATGAGTTTGTATTCAAGCTTATAAATGCCCACACACACAAAAAAATGTAGCCCTGGCTGGTGTGGCTCAGTGGATTGAGCACCTGCCTGTGAACTAAAAGGGTCACCAGCTTGATTTCTGGTCCGGGCACATGCCTGAGTTGTGGGCCAGGTCCCCAGTAGGGGGTGCACAAGAGAATCAACCACACTGATTCTCTCCCTCTCTTTCTCCCTGCCTTCCACTCTGTCTAAAAACAAGTAAATAAAATCTGCAAGAAAAAAAAAAAGGTAGAAAAGTTATAATTCGATCATGAAAAGACACTGAAAAAATTCTTTTCTAAAGGTTAAACCCTAAGGGCTGTCTGACTCAGGAAGTATCAGTTATTTCTCCCGTTGGCCCACCAGCCTCTCTCTGACATTTGTGTCTGGGGTTGTTACGGAGGAGCTTCACGCAGGGTATGATTAATAAGACTGAATTATCCCTGGCTGCTGTGGCTGAGTAAACTGAGCACCGGCCTGGGAACCAAAGGGTTGCCGGTTTGATTCTCAGCCAGGGCACATGCCTGGGTTGTGGGCCAGGTCCCCAGTGCAGGGGCATACAAAAGGCAACCACACAATGGTGTTTCTCTCCTTCTCATCCTCCTTGTCCATCTGTCTAAAAATAAATAAAATATTTTTTAAAAAATTTTTAAAAGATCGAATTAGACACTGAATGCTCTACAGACTTTTAAAGCAAGTATCCAAGAATGTCAGAACTACAAAATCAGGCTTATACAAACATATGTGCGTCCCTCTCCTCACAATAGTTTGCAGGCATGGCAAGCATATCTCAGACAGGAGTCTTTGAACCTGGGATAGTGACCTCTTGTTTTGTGGGCTTGGATCAGTTTTCACAACAGATTGAGGCACAAGGGACCAGTGGGACATCTGCTTGTCTGTGTTCTAAACTTAGGAATAATGTCACGTTAATAAGTATGTTTAAAAAAAATGTCTTGTTTGGGAAAAAGTTTATTCCTGAACTCTGTTGTCAACTCTTGGAACATCTCTGCAAAGGGAACCAAGCAACCATACAGTTATTTACCACTCTACACAACATGATGAGAACAGGTCATTTCTGTAGGTGTGGCTGAAATATTTATCTTTCTTTCTTCAAGTTCCATTAACTCCCACTTAATTTTGCCTTTAAAATCCAAACCATCAGTGCCAGCTCACTTTCATGTGACTTTGGATCTGACAAGATAAACTGGTCGAGTATCTACCTGAATTAATGAACTTTGCCAGGTTCTTTTCTTTCTTTGCAAATAGGTAACTGGACTCTTCTTGGCCGCTGTGCTTCTCTTCATCTCTTAATAATGGTATCTTGATATTTTTATAAAGCAATGCAAGTTGTTGCCTCTCCTCAGTCTGTACCAGTCGACTGGAGAATAACACAGATGAATTTAGGAGCACAATTTTCATGATGTATCATCATATCTTAATCATGTGACCTTTTGACTGAAAAAGCAACTTTGACCTGGCCTAGCAGGCCTAGGCCAGTTAGTTCAGTTGGCCAGATCATCGTCCTGATACACCAAGGTTGCAGGTTCTATCTCTGGCTAGAATACATACAAAAAGCAACCAATAAATGCAGAAATAAGTATAACAACAAATTGATGTCTCTCTCTCTCAAATCAATTTTTTCTTTTTTCAAGATTTTGTTAATTTATTTTTAGAGGGGAAGGGAGGGAGAAAGAAAGGGAGAGAAACATCAGTGTATCGTTGCCTCTTCTGTGCTCTACTACAGGGAACTTGGTCTGCAACCCAGGCATGTGCCCTAACTGAAAATCCAACCGTGACCCTTTGGTTCACAGGCTCAATCCACTGAGCTACACCAGTCAGGGCTCAAATCAATTTTTTAAAAAAAGTTGGAGGAAGCCTAAAAAAATCAATAAATAAAAAATTTAAAAATGTACTTCTAAGAAAAATCAACCACTAAAAATTCCATGAAAACATGTACTTTGGGGCTCATATTTTCACTATGCCTCAGGCTCTAAAACAGCGTGGGGCACTGGGTGTAACTCAAACACACCAGCTCAGTAACTTAATTGGATGTTGAAACTCCACGAGGATACGTTTTAGTGAGTTCTCTTAGAAAACTTGATATCTGTTACTATCTTTGTCTATATTAATAAAAGAAACTGAAATTACAGTTATATAAATTGAGTCACAAGGGATCACATTAGATAACCCAGAATCAAGCATGATGTTTTTGTGATGGTTACACTCTTTCATCAGCAAAATGTCTTCAATTTTACCTTTAATCTCAGCCTGTCTTCATTTGACATACTTCACAGTGGTCCTAAAATGCCTACCTTAAAAAATATCCCCTCATGGCAATATACTGAATTCAAATAGAGCAAGTAATGCGGTACATCTTCCTCAAATACTGCTGTTGCCCCAGCCTTCATTGATAATAACAAGTTTCCAATGAAAAAAACAATGGTCAATCACTCTTTTCTGCTTTGCACTATTAAGATTCTTTCCAGATACCACGTTCTGGGGAAATACTAGCATTTCATGCAATGGCTTTCAAAGATTTTTGACCATGATCCTCAGTAAGAAGTGTGTTTTACTTCACAACCACAAATCTGTCTGACAACTTTAAAAATCATCATTTCCGCCCTGACTGGTGTGTCTCAGTGGACTGAGTGCTGGCCTGCAAACCAAAGGGTTACCGGTTCGATTTCCAGTCTGGACACATGCCTGGGTTGTGGGACGGGCCCCCAGTGGGGGGCATGCAAGAGGCAACCACACATTGATGTCCCTCTCCCTGTCTTTCTCCTTCCCTTCTTCTCTCTCTAAAAATAAATAAATATCTTTTAAAAGTTTTAAATGTCATTTCCTTTAATGTATGTAATGCTTTCTAATATATTCTATTTTTCTAAATCATATTCTGTTCTATCTCTCTTTTTCTTTTCTTTTTTAAAAATGTATATCATGTCCCAATATGAGTACAGGCTATATTCTGCAAAACACTGATCTGGAAATGTATAAAGGTTATAATAATTTAGTGATCATAAGAACTATAATCATGCCCTGTCAGTGTGAGTCAGTTGTTTAAATCATCATCCTGTACACCGAAAGGTTGGGGGTTCAATTCCTGGTCAGGGCACATACCTAGGTTCCAGGTTCAATCCCTGGTCAGGGAGCATATGGGAGGCAACTAATCAATGTTTCTCTCTTACATTAATGTTTCTCTCTCTCTATCTCTTTCTCACTTCCTCGCTCTCTAAAATCAATAAACACTTTTTAAAGAATTATGATCATCACCCTCATCATTAAATAATAACCTAGCTAATTTGTGTCTTATTTAAGGACGGCAATGTTATTTAACACAGACTTACTACATTATATAGGAAACAGCAGCCCCACACACCAGGGCAATGCTTAAGGCCATACATGCGATTGTAATGACTTGAACAAGAGCAGGTCTACGCGGAACCATCACTAAAAAGAAAAGAAAAAATTCTCACCAAATTTTGTTTTAGAGGTGCCTGTCAGTGAATTATACTGTTATTCCAAAGAGGAGTCAGAGATAAAATCAGAAATTCCATTTTTAAAAAAAAGCATTCTAAAACAAACTAGCAAAATATACCCAAAGACACTGAAATTGAGAACAGGCTGACAGTGACCAGAGGGGAGATGGGGAGGGAATTTCAGGGGAAAGGGGGAAGGGTTTGAAGGGACTAGTATAAAGGACACAAGGACAGTAACAAGGGGGCCGGTGGAGACGGAAGGGAGGTGGGGAGGGCTGTGGGGATGGGCTTGGATGGGGGTAAATAAAGGGCGGAAAACTGTACTTGAACAACAATTAAAATTAAAAAAAAAAAAAAAAAGCATTCTTGCCCTGGCCAGATGGCTCAGCTGGTGGGAGCATCGTCCCATACACCAAAATGTTGAGGGTTTGATTCCAGGTCAGGGCAAGTACAGGAGGCAACTGATTGACGTTTCTCTCTCCTATTGATGTTTCTCTCTCTCTTTCTCTCAAATCAATAAAAACATATCCTCAAGTGAGGATTAAAAAAACTAGCATTCCTAATTTTTAAAATCACCAGGGCAAGCTTGCACAGCCTGTGTGAACAAGCGTAATCTGAATTCCCATATATTGGGGACTCCCCTTTTTCGTCTGCCTCCTGTCCAGGGTGGAAGCCCTTTATTTTGCTTCCTGACTCAGTATAGCAGCACCTGCCAACTACACAGCCCAACAGGAGAGTTGTCTTAGTTTCAGAACCCAAGTGCTGACCACTGGGCTCAGGCTATGCAGTGCTATGATGAAAGAATATTACAGGGCAGCCTGGAATGCAATTCCACCAACCTGCATCCCACGTGTTGGTGTTTGGGGCCATGGAATGTGCTCTAAAGTTGTTCTTTGTAGGCTCAGGTGTATCATACTTCCTATCATCTGAAACAAAAAAAGAAAAACTAGAGAGATACTGTTTGTACAAAATGTAAAAAAAAAAAAAAAGTGCAATAGGCAACCATGCTGAAAAGGGCCTCAAGGCTCAGCCCTCAGGGAGAAGTCAGCCTGGCAGGATGAGAAGAACCTGGGCTGTGGAAATGATAGCAGTGCAAAATGTTTCACTGCGGGCGTGAGGTGTATGGGTGTGCGCGTTATAATTTTTCAACTTTTCTGTTTTTGGATTTTTGTAATGAAATAATGGAGGAGAAAAAAGGAATAAGGGTCACAGATGGTTTCAAATCAACAAGTACTGAAAGTTGGCCTTTGGATTTGGCAATGGGAAGGTCATCAGGAACCCAGAGGAAGGTGACATTAGCGCTGATGTGGTGGGGATACAATCTTGCCTGAAAAAGGTTCAAGAGAGAATGGGAGGAAAGGAATTAGAGATGTGAGTTTTGGAAACTTTTAATGAACTCTGCTGTAAAGATGGGGACAGAAACAGGGCAGCTTCTGGAAGGGCCTAAGCAATCAAGAGGCTAGTTTTAAGATGGGAAAATTGAGCTGTGGCCGGCTTACTTAGTTGGTTTGAGCATTGTCTCCATATGCCAAGATTGAGGGTTCAATCCCTGGCCTGAGCACATTCAAGAATCAACCAATGAATGTATAAATAAGTGTCAACAACAAACCGATGTTTCTCTTTCTCTCTCTCAAATCAATATATTTTTTAAAGAGATAGGAAAATTAAAAAGCATGTTCATATGAGAATGGGACTGCTATTTTAAATTATAATATGACAGAAAAAGTCACTAAATGGAATGGGAGAGTAATTGGACTAGGGAAATGGATTAGCATATTTTTAATAAAATTTCCTAGAAATGATATCGCTGGTTATATTGACTATATTTTCTGTTCTTTTGATGCTCTGGCATTTGGGGCCTTGACCCTAGACTTTCTCTCCTAGAGCTAGTATTTCCTACAGAGAGCAAAGGACCCACTGCAAGCATTCCTTTGATATATAAACCAAGCAATCCTAACCAAACTCTCACACTCCAGGCCAATATTCCCTCTGCCCTAAATCATCCCAGGGCCAGGTACTAGACAAGTAGAACGACTCCCATTGCCCAGAGCCTGCCAAAACTATTCAAATTGTCCAACCCTAAGCTGACTCCACATACCTCTCCTCTCCTTCCAGGGAAAACTCTGGTAAAAAGACTCTGCACCTCACTCTTCCCTCCTCCTCCTGCTTCCTGATCAACTCTGGTCCTTCCCCACGTGGCTCTAAAAGGTGTGCCGTGCCTGTTGCTCCTAGGAACCTGTGCATGTACATTTCTTCCTTCCTAACAATCATTTCCATGTCTGCACGTCTCACCTGAGTAAAACAAATCTCAGGTATGTTTCAACTCTCTGGATCACAAGAGGACATTCACATAGCAGACGAGAAGACCCAAGACTAGTTTTTACTTCACTGAATGAACAGTGCAAGGACTTACAGCCAGGTCTTGGGGTGGAGACTATTGAATTTCAGGTAATTTGCTTTTCTTAGGAGACACTTTGGGCTGTCTAGTGACTCATACATTCTCATGACTACTGATGGCCTTGAAAAGAAAACATATAGCAATGAAATGTAATTATCCCTTCTTATTCAATACTTCTGAGACAAGTAAACAGTGGTTGGCATTCCCTATTAAACTGGGGTCTGAACTCACATGCATAAGGCAGGCATACAAGAAGTGGCCATTCCATTAAAAACAAAAATAAAAAGGTGAAAGAACTTTGAACCTTTTCCATCATTCCACTATTGTTAGTCTTTAATCCTATGGATGAAAGGAACTATTTAGCTAGAGCCCAGCATCTGCTCTATATATTCATTCAAGAAACTAAGGAACTAAAGTGCTTTACTCCCCCCAGAGAGTTTGGGTTCTGCCTTGGAGCCTCTAGTGTGAGGTCAGCACAGGTTGCCATGTGGATTTCCTTCATGGAATCATGTCAGCCAATGGGGACACTGATGGGATGAGGGACTGTGTAAAGGTTAGGTTGGTGGGGGCAGGTATGAGGAAGACCAGGTCCCTGCCTTCAAGAAGTAGACGGTTAACAAGGAGGCAGCGCTTCCTCCCTGTCCCGGTCATTCTTACTTGTTTTTGGTCCCAGGCCTGCCTCCCCACCTCTCCCCCCAACTTTCCCCAGGCTCTCATGCCTGGGCCCACCCCACACTTTGATGCCTTGGTAGCAGTGTCCACAACACACAAGTGCATCCAACTGCTTTTGTTGAACAAAACCCTGTCTCATGTTCTGCCCTGAAAGGCAAGTGTGTGTGTTTTCTTTTCCTCTATAAAAACTCCCCACAACAATGGCAACAGCTGTTGGTTTCCTAGCCACACACCAAAATAGGTAGTGATGTCACCTTCCAGGAAAGCCTCCCTGGTCTGAGTGTGGTGCTTCCACCACACCTGTTCCTGCCTATTATGGCCCCAACACCAAGACCTGTCCTCACTGATGTCCCCAACATCTCACCTGTGACCGTGGTTCCTGAGGGGCTCACAGACTAGCACAGGTTTCATGTGCAGAAGCCCCTCCCAGAACACTTGCCGAACACCAGTGAACAAACAAAAGAACAAGCAAGCATACCAGCCATTTCCCATTCAGCCCCTCTCAGGGTGAAACAAGTGTAGTTATTCCCATGTCAGCATCCACCTGTTGCAATTGTATCTTTCCCCATATCACTGCCCAGCAGCATCACTGGGGTCATTAATGTCCTCACCCGACTTCTGAACAAGCATGGAGTCCACTGCCATCCCAACCCCCACACCCTCTTCTTTTCACTGTTTCCAATACTGGCAAGTTGTAACCTCAGTGGCTAGTACATATTCAACTCATATCTGAGTGCTTCAGTCCCACAAGCGTCCTGGAACTTATGACGTCCAGAAGTAGGATGACTGTAAATGGGCTACTTAGATTATCACCTTAAAGACTTGTACCCTGGCTGGTGTGGTCCAGTGGACTGAGTGCCAGCCTTCGAACCAATGGGTCGCTGGCTTGATTCCCAAGTCAGGGCACATGCTTGGGTTGCGGGCCAGGTCCCCACCTGAGGGAGTATGAGGCAACCAGTCAATGTATCTCTCACACATCAATGTTTCTCTCCCTCTCTTTCTCCCACCCTTCCCATCTCTCTAACAATAATTAAATAAAACCTTAAAAGAAAATTTGCCTATGTGCATTTACACGTAATGTTAGTTGTGGAAGACGGCCTTTCCACCCTCCACCTAGGGTGTTGCGCCCACCCCCTGGGACCCTGGAGGATCCCCTGAGACAGTACTGCCCACATGGTGGGCCTCGTACAGTTTGCACCAAACTCCAAGAGTGAGCTCACCACCTCCCAGGCCAGCTGATTTATTCATTGGACAAAAGTAACATTCAGTTAATAAACTGGGGTGAGCAGAGCCCTCAGAAAGTTCTTAAGTGGGGAGGCTTGCTTTCCTACTAACAGTAATGTGCCAGATGACATAATTTTGGTCAAGGACAGACCATGTATATTTATGACTGCCCCTTAGGATTACATCCTGCTACTCTATTCTCTCCACAGGTCTTGGCACAAAGCATGTAAGTAAACTATTCAGTGACTTGAATTCACTCCTGTAATACTGGGTGACCACTATGCAGTAAGCCCTGAAAGGGAGGGAATCAGATCCCACATGCCTGCGGAAACTCCAGTGATGCCCAGATGAACATCTGAGCGCACCCATGACACCAGGAGGCTGCTGTTGCACAACCACTGGGGAGTCGTGGAACTACATGAATGTTCTGTCCCTGGATTTCTAACCAATACTCTTGAAACATCTCCAGGAAGGATAGCTGGCCCCTAACTATAGCCCTACATGGAAATACAGGAAATATGTGGAAACTAAAGAGAAGCCACCCAAGACCTCCTGTTCATCTCACCCCCTTTCTCATGTGAGCACTCAGGCTTCCTCACTCTATGGAAACTGGTTAGCACCGTTCCCATCTGAGTCCTCTCTGTGATCAAGCAATCTTTTCATTTAGAAAAGATAAAGAAAATATAAACGCCAATTCAGGGGAGACCTTGAGGAATGGCGTGCCCGTGTGCAGTGCTGTGTCCTGCCCTCTGCCACATGAGCAGCATTCTGAACCCATCAGGGAGCATTCCTCTGTCTTGTCTGAATTTCAAGCTAAGTCCTCCAGCCCCTGCTCTGCTGTAATCCTCAGGCTGTGGTTGGTGTGATTCTAGGGAAACCCAGGTCTCAGAAAGTGAGGTGATTCTGAATGTCCAAAACAGACTTCATATTCCAAAAGGAACTTAGTGCTCATGTTACCAGAAATCCTTCAGGACGGAGAGCCAGGTAACTTTATTTCTCATTATTTAGGAATTTCTTGATTTTTTAATATCAAATATCTACTATAGAAACACTGAACAGTAACAACAACAACAAAAAAAACAGTATTAGGTGGAAATATCACTGGAGAGTCAGCATAACATAGTGGTCAAAAACATGAGCTCTGGAGCCAAACAATCTCAGCATCACTCCTTGCTACTTGCGTCCTTAATTAGGTTTGTCAACATCTCTGCCTCAGTTTCTCCATTCATAAAACTGGAATGATAACAATGGCACCTACCTCATATAACTAAGAGGATTGAGCAAGTTAATCACTGAAAAGCATTTAAAACAAAGCCTAGCACACGGTAAGTGCTATAGGTTTGTAAAACTTTTTAAAAAAGTTTTAAAATTAACTGGGTTAATTTATCCACGGGTCTTACTAGTCCTTATCCATATACATTTTTTAGGTGTTAGATATGTATATACAACTCTTTGTCCTTTTTATTCCTTCAGGTTATGTATGCTAATGCAGTGTCCATAAATATACCTTATAGTGATTACCTAAACCAATTAGAAACTAATGTCCAACAATGCAATAATGAGTAAACTGTGGACACCGACACGCTGGGTTTTTAAATATCACTTTTTGTCCCAACATCATCACTCTCATACTTCTAGGCAAAAACATTTCCACCATTAGTAATCTTATTTACTAATCTTTTCTAAGGTTAATCTTCATCAACAGTAAATATCACACTCAATACTATTTTTTTCTTAAATTCAGACTTAGTATTCCACATTCTATTTCTTAAAGGGCACCTAGACCCTCCCCCTTATAATAGCGAAATCTGTATTTCCATAGTTGTGCACAAAATGTTATTGTAAAGCTTCCTGTCCCATACTCCAGCTCAATGCAAAACAGTGTATTTCCAGCTGACACACTTTTCCTAGCATAAGGTTTTCCCCTCAGCAATGCACTCTGATCCACACCTGAGATCTCTTACTAAAAGACATCTCATTCCCTCATTCAAATTCCTCAAATGGGAATCCTAGTGGACCATGACAGGACTCCTCGAGAGTTTTCTTCACTCTAATTACCTGAAGTTAAATAAGGGCTACATTAACTGCTAAGCTTTCCTCTATTCTCTTCATTCACTCATCTTCTAAGAAGATATTTCCTATTGAGTAGTAAGGGGAAGAGTCTTAATTAACTCTTACTAAAAAAAAAAAAACAACCCAGTTCCTCCTGACTATAAGAGTTTTTTTTTTCAATGTGTTAGCAAATGTACAATGAAAATCTCTCATCAGTTCAATTCACAGACTTTCCCTTCACTGTGACTCCTCTGGTGCTGAAGCAGGGCTGAATGACCACTATAGGATTTTCCACAGTCACTGCATATGAAGCGTTTCTCTCTGTTGTGCATTCTCTGATGAATAATAAGAGAAGAATTCTTACAGAAAGCCTTCTCACAGTGATTACATTTGTAGGGCTTTTCTCCAGTGTGGTTTCTCAGATGCACTATGAGGGAAGAACTCTCATTAAATGCTTTCCCACATTCATTACATCTATATGGTTTCTCTCCGGTGTGAGTTCTCCGGTGTGCTATCAGGTGAGAGCTACAGTTGAAGGATCTTTCACACTGATTACACTTATAGGGCTTCTCACCTGTGTGAATTCTCCGATGAGCAACAAGGTGACAGCTCTGGCTGAAGGATTTCCCACATTTATTGCATTCATAGGGCTTTTCTCCAGTGTGAGTCCTCTGATGTCTAACAAGATGAGCCATCTGGCTACAGGATTTCCCACATTTATTACACTCATAAGGCTTAATTCCAGAATGAATTATTTCATGTTTTGTGAGGGCTGAGCGTTCCCTGAATGCTTTGCCACATTCCTGACAGTTATAGGGTTTCTCTCCTGTGTGAGTTCTCTGATGGGCAATAAGGTGGGAGCTCCAGCTGAATGATTTTCCACATTCAGTACATTTGTATGGTTTTGCTCCAGAGTGAGTTCTTTCATGTTTACTAAGAGCTGAATAATCCCTAAAAGCTTTTTCACATTCATCACATTTAAAGGGCTTCTCTCCAGTATGCATTCTCATGTGGGCAATAAGATGGGAGCTCCAGCTGAACGACTTCCCACATTCAGTACATTCAAAAGGTTTCTCTCCAGTATGAGTTCTTTGATGTCCAATAAGATGAGAGTTCCAGTTGAAAGACTTCCCACATTCATTACATACATAAGGTTTCTCTCCCGTATGAATTCTCGTATGCACAATAAGATGAGAATTCCAGCTGAAGGCTTTTCCACACTTATTACACTCGTAGGGTTTTATTCCAGTGTGAGTCCGTTCATGTTTAGTAAGGGCTGAACGATTCCTAAAAACTTTTCCACATTTATCACATTCATAGGGCTTCTCTCCACTATGAGTTTTCTTATGTTGGATAAGGTAAGAGCTCCAGATGAAAGATGTCCCACACTCATTGTATTCATACGGTTTCTCGGCAGTGTAAGTGCTTGTATGTTGAGTGAGGAATGAGTCATACCCAAAGACTTTCTCCCATTCATTGTATTTATATGATTTCTCTACAGTCCCAATCTTTTGATGTTCCATGAAGGACGAGAAGTAAAAGATATTCTCATATTCTTTGTAACCAAATTGGTTTTCTCCAACATGAGGTCTTGGGTGGTCAATAAATGGTGGGCCCTGGTTAAAGATTTGATGGCATTCCTTATATTCATAGAGCTTTCCTCCTGTATGCATTTCCTTATGATCACCAAAATGTAGTACATGATTGAAAGATTTAACAGCATCAGAACATGTGAAAAGATTATCTCCAGTTTGCGTCCTTGCAGGGTGAATAGGTTGCATGGACTGGTAGAAGGTTTTGTCATAATCATTATTTTCACAGGTAATCTTATCTGTATACATTATGGCTGAGTTACACCTCCAACTTCCAGCATTTGTATCAGGCTTATGGAAATGTTCTATTTGAGAAACTCTCTGAGAAGGAATAAAGTTTAAGCTCTGGCTACACTGTGCCCCAAGTTCACAGAAAGCAGAACCTCTTGGAGATAGTACTTGCTTCTGCATGAACACCATCTGCCTCATAGCTGTACTCTGGTTCACGTGGTACATCTGTAATTGGTCTTCACACCCCAAAATTTCTAACCTGGAGAACCAAGGGTTATGCCACACGTATCGTTCCAACTTCATGCTGTGGGATTGTTCTTCCTCGAAAATGCTACATGTTGGGATCAATGCTTTGCTTTCAGGATTTTTCACCATTTCTGAAATAAACAAACAAAAAAAAATCCGTGAGAACACAGAGAAAGAACTTCTAACAATAGAGTGGAAAAGGTGGGATATTTTGGGGTCCCTATTATTGAAAAAACAAGTGTGTACTGTTTTCAAATAGACTTTGTAACTCAAAGGAAGGTCATAACAGAAAAAAGGAAAATAGTGAACGTGAATGAATGTAGTTAATCACAGTGAATGTAAAATCCATTCAGGAACATTTTCCCTGGAAAAGCAGGACCAGATAAGACTGTACAGGAAAGAGGTAACTCAGCATCTCTTGAGTTGCTCAAACTGCACACGTTCAGGAAGGCTTGTTCTTGACTGGCCCTTAGCCAACTTCTAGGAATTGAGGTCTCAGAAATGCTTTAACTGGTAAGAGTATTTTCCACACTTATGGCATTGAGGCACACATACAATTTCTCTAAATAATTTGTATAAACAATGTCCTTTGCGGTGAACATCTGCTTCGCTTCTGGGGTCTGAAACATCCATGGTTACAACCATTCATGTGTGCCTGAATGAATGACCCCCAATAAACACCCTGGGCTCCCGGGCTCTGGCAAGCTTCCCCTGGTAGATGACACTTCACACATGTTGTCACAACTCGTTGCTGAAGGAATTAAGTGTGTCCTTTGCAACTCCACTGGGAAAGGACTCTAGAAAGCTTGTACTTGGTTTCCTCCTCTGGATTTTGTTCAAGAGCCTTTCCTTCTGCTGTTACTTCCTATCTTTTCACCATAATAAAGCAGTACCCTGAGTACAATGACTTTGAGTCCTGGGAGTCCTTCTAAGTGAGTCACTGAACCTGGGGGTTCTCTTGAGGAGGTCCCTGACGAAAAGACAGTAAATACTATTAAAGTGAAAAAAACTGGCTTAATAAAAGACAGCTGAAAGCCCTAGCCAGGTAGCTCAGTTGGTCAGAGCATCGTCCCCATATACCAACATTGTGGGTTTGATCAGGGAACATACAAGAATCAACCAATGAATGCATAAATAAGTAGAAAAACAAATCAATATTTCTCTATCCCTTTTCCTCTCTCTAAAAATCAATTAAAAAAAGATAGATGGGCAACCAAGTTCTTAGGAACTAACATTTAAATTATTAAGGTATCCTAATTCCTTTATGTGTTCTAACGTTCTTACTGTTCCCGTTTTGACACCTGCCAAAATAGAAGAGGCTGGTGTTAAGTATCACCAACAGAGGCTTCAAGCCGAGATACTGTCTATGATAATATGCTATCACATTACTTCCTACTCACAGAGTTGCGTCAGTAACACAAAATGTATCACCCCAAAGGGCAAAAATCCTGTGGTTTAAGGATATTGCTAAAATTACAATTCCTCTAATGACTATAGAATCATTTGTGGAGTAATGACATAAGACATGAACTTGAAAGGCAGCACACTGAGATGAGACGCATACACAGTTACAGTCTGATCACCTATATTTAAGTACTGTTCTGCCACTCTCCTTGGAGGACTTCTCTGATGATTAAATGAAATTTTGAATTCAGTGAAATGTCTGGCTAATTCCATATGTAAAACTGTTACCAGTGCTAAGGTATCAGTCCCCCAACAACTGAAGGGCATTAGTTTCCTACTGCTGCTGCAACAAACTGTCACACACCTGTCATGTAGTGGCTTAAAATAACACCAACTACTAGTCTGGAAGTCAGACATCCAAAATGGCTTTCACTGGGTTAAAATCAAAATAGGTTCTCTTTAGAAACTCTACGGGATTATCCTTATCCTTACCTTTTCCTTTTATTTTTATTTATTGATTGTTTTTAGAAAGAGAAGGAAAGGAATAGAGCGAGAAACACTGATTTGTTGCTCCACTCACGCATGCACTCATTGGTTGATTCTTGTACGTTCTGACAGGAAATCAAACCCGCAGCCCTGGTGTACTGGGATGATGCTCCAACTGCACCACCTGGCCAGGGCCCCTTTCCCACTTTTAGAAGCTGCCTGCACTCTTTGGCTTGAGGCTCTTTCCTCCATCTTCGAGGCACATAATTCCAGTCTCTGCTTCTGTCAATCACATCTCTATGTTGCTGACACACCTGCTTCACTGTTAGAATGACCTTGTGACTACAATGGGACCACCCAGATAATCCATGTTCACAGGTTTAGGACGGGACTTCCGTTTTTTCAGGGGGAGTGTCATCATGCAACCTACCACAGAGTCTAAAGCTACAGGTACACAACTGGACCTGGACCCTTGTCCTCTTTCTCTAAGTTTTTGTCCTTCTCTAGTCGCCATACACCACTGCCCCCCACTTTTCTACCCGAGTCCATTACAACAGAGGCCCTAATCTGCTCCAGAACTTGCATTTATTACCAATTTCAAGCTTGGATCCTAGATATTACAAAATGATCTTCATATAATTTTGAAAATTTCTAATAGAAACTCCTAAAAATGGCAGCTAACCAAATAAACAATTCTTGTCCAACTTTATACCCAGTACTTTGTAGCCTGAGTGTCAGAACCAGAGACAAGAAAGTAGAGTCTCTTTTCCCTAGAAGTTAGAACCGTGTGATGAGAGGACAGTGACCGGTTATTTTTTAAAATATTTTATTTATTTTTAGAGAGAGGGGAAGGGAAGGAGAAAGAGAGGGAGAGAAACATCAATGTGTGGTTGCCTCTCATGCGTTCCCCACCGGGGACCTGGCCTGCAACCCAGGCAGGCACCCTGACTGGGAATCAAACTGGCGACCCCCTGCTTCACAGGCCCGTGCTCAATCCACTGAGCCACACCAGCCAGGGCAGTGACCAGTTATTAACAGCGCACAGAATATACCCCTGACAGAATGTGGGGTTGTGGTACTGAGGGTGGGAGGTGAGAAAATCAGCATGAACAGAGGCAATCGGGGAAGGTTTCATGCAGAGAAACAACATGAGCTCAACCTTCAGGTACGGCTTCAATACAGACTGACACTAGCATACACAACATGGGCAAAGAAATTCATAACCAGACTGCCACTTGAGGAGGACACTGAGGGAGACCACTGAGTAAACTGCAGGAACTAGTCAGGAAATGAGAGAAACAACAGAAGAAATTGCAAGGTCTTGGTCTAGTGAGGGTTATTAAAAAGGCAACGCAAGTCACTGTAGTTGTACTAAGCTCATGATGGAAGATTTCAGGAACACAAACTTAGAAATAAGGCCTGAGGTGGTCAATAACAAGGAAGAATTTACTCAACTTGAGCTGCAGTTACGAGAAGGGACCTGTGGGGACAATGGTGGACACTGAGTGATACCTCTGACAGAGTAAGAAAATCTCAGAAGTTGAAAGAGGGATTACTTCTCAGAAAGGGAAAAGCAGGAGGAAGTCGGATGACTTCTCAATGTGCAGCTTAAGGGACTCACTGAAGGAAGGCTGGTACCAGGGACAGACACCAGGAAGATGAGGAGACAGTCTAAAAGAGAGAGATGAGATTCCTGGTTGTTATCAAGATGAAGAAGACAGTTGAGATGGTAACAGAATTGTCAGTACTGAGGGTGGGAGAGTTAAAGCCACCAGAATTCATGAAGGTCTCTGATCTGAATGGAAGGCAAATGGTAAGGCTGAACGAAAACCCACTTAATTAGAGTGGATGGAAGACGTCCACCTTCAGGACTCCAAAGAGGCCTTGGTACATCCTTGAATTAAAACTAGCAAGATATTCCAAAGTGCTGAGTTCAGTTAAAGGCAGCTTCCCTGTTCTGTTAATTACACTTTGGGACACTGAAACACAGGCTTAGGAGAGATGATTGAATAGAAAGCACTGCTCTATTCATTTACCCACCAACCTACAAAAATGAAAAGAGGAAGAAAAAAAGAAAGAAAAAGAAAAAAAAACTAGCAAGATAGCCCTGGCTGGGTGTCCAATTAGCTGGAGCACTGTCCTATACATTAAAAGGTTGCAGGTTTGATCCCCAGTTAGGCATGTGTGAGAGGCAACCAATTGGTATCTCTGTCTCTCTCTCTCTCTCTCCACCTCCCCTTCTTCTCTCTTTAAAATCAATAATAAGAAATATCCTCGGTTGAGAGTTAAAAATAAATAAATAATAACAATAAAAACAACGAGGTACACCACAGTGTATCATATTCTATCTTTGGAAAGGTGAAAAGTAAGTACTTATCCCTATGTGCCTGTAGTTGCATAAAGAAACCGTGGAAACATACAACAGGAATACTGACCGTGATTACCTGGGACAAGAAGTCAGGGCAAACAGCAAATTGAGAACCTTTGAAATTTCACCCTTACACCAAGCACCCAAAAAACTGGCAAAATCTATTTCTTCAGAATTCTATAAATGAAGCCAAAGCCTTGGAGCAGCCCAAGGAGAGTTTATTCCAGAAATGCAGCTGCATTTTGATAATAACAGTAAGCAGTATGACACTGTAAATGAGTGCCATCACTGGCTCCCCAACTCAGCGGTAGCCCTGGAAACTAACTGCCCGTATTTCTGGTACTGGACAGAGCAAAACAGGCTGGGCTTGTCAAAGCCTCATTCCTACAGAACAGTCATTATCTGACCTGTGAGATGGTTCCCTGGCAGTCCTCATGCAGAGGCTTGTGGTGAACTTGCACAGCACTGGAAGCTCCTAGGGAGCAGCTGTCTGTCAAACACAGGCCCAGCTGTGAAGTCATTACTATCTGAGACCATTGGTGCCGAGAATACACATGTCAGAAAGATGAAAGGAAACTGAGGAGGTAGCTGTCCACAGGAGCTTTGAAGAGTTTATTCCTGGGAATCTAGAAGACCATATTCACGCAGATCAGAATTAAACTGCCAGAGCCACAGCAAGAGCCCTGAAGGCAGCAAGAGGAAGCAGCTTATTGCAAAGCAGGGGTGCTCCTCAGATGGCCAGTACCATTCTCACCCAAAACCATGCAGACCAGAAAAAAAAACTGTCAACCACAAGTTGTGTATCTGCCATGACAATACTTCAACAATGGAGAAATAGAGATTCCCAAATAAACCAAACCTGGGAGTTTGCTGCTAGCAAACCTGCCCCCCATGAGAAACGTGAAGGGCAGTCCTTTAGGTTGAAATGAAAAAACAGTAACTTGAAAGAAACCCCAATAAAGGTAAACTACATATATAGGTTGACAAGGCAAGACTGTGTAAGTGCCTTTCTGGCTTGTAACTACCTTTTTATCTACCCGCTTTAAAATACATTACATTAAGCAACAATTATTAATCTATGGTAGATGACTCACAATGTATAGATGTGACAATAACAATATAAAAGGAGGAAAGACAGAGGTATACAAAACCAAAGTTTTCACATATTGTCAACGTTAAAATTGGATTAATGTAAACTAGATTATTATAAATTAAGATGTTATTTATTTATTTATTTATTTAATTTTATTTACTTATTTTTGGAGAGTGGGTAAAGAAAGGAGAAAAGGAGGAAAAGGAACATTGATGTGCAAGAGAAACATCAAGTGGTTTGCCTTTCACACACCCCAACTAGGACCCAGCCAGCAACCCAGGCCTGCGCCCTAACTGGGAATCAAACCAGCAACCTTTTGGTCCACAGAATGGCATTCAGTCCACTGAGCCACACCAGTCAGGACTAAGATGTTAATTTCAAACTGCAGGAAAACCACTAAAAAAATCACTCAAATATGCATAGTAAAGCCCTGGCTGGTGTGGCTCAGTTGGTTGAAGCGTCGTCTTATAACCAAAACTTCATTGGTTCAATTCCAGTCAGGGCCTATGTCTGAGTTGTGGACTCGATCCTCGGTTGGGGCGTATTCAGGAGGTAGCTGATTGGTGCTTCTCTATCACATCGATGTTTCTCTCCTTTCTCCTTTCCCTCAAACAAGAATAAAACAAATCTTTAAAAAATAATTTTAGCCTGGCTGGTGTGGCTCAGTGGATTGAGCACTGACAACTGAAAGACTGTCAGTTTGATTCCCAGTCTGAGCAAATACCTGGATTGCAGGACAGGTCCCCAGTAGGGGGAGCCTGAGATGCAATCAATCAATGTATCTCTTGTGCATTGATATTTCTCTCCCTCTCTTTCTCTCAACTCCTCTAAAAATATGTAAAGTCTTTAAAAAATAGTAATTTTTAAATAATTTTTAAAAAGATTTTGCATATTTTTAAAAGACTTTTCTTTATTTTTTAGAGAGAGGGGAAAGAGAAAGAGAGGGAGAAAAACATCAGTGTGTGATTGCCCCTCACATACCCCCAACTGGGGACCTGGCCCACAATCCAGGTATGTGCCCTGACTGGGAATCAAACCAGCAACCCTTTGGTTTGCAGATGAGCGCTCAATCCACTGAGCTCCACCAGCCAGGGCAGATTCTACATATTTTTAGACAGAAGAGAAAGGTGGGAGAAAGAGAAGGAGAGAAAAATCAATGTGTGGTTGCCTCTCGCATGCCCCCTACTGGGGACCTGGGCTGTAATCCAGACCTGTGCCCTGACTGGGAATAGAACCAGTGACCCTTTGGTTCACAGGTCAGCACTTAATCCACTAAGCCACACCAGCTCAGGGTTTTAAAAATGAATAGTAAAAAAAAAAGTGGTTACCTGTGTGTGCCTCTGTGTGTCTGTCTGTCTGTGTTTGGAGGTAAGAGTAAGTGCAAAAGAGGAAAGCATATAAATAAGGTTTTTTTTCATCTTATATATTTTATAAAGCCTTGAGTTTTTAACCATGTAAATACATTATCTACATTTAAAAAAATATTTTGTGGCTTAGTGGATTAAGTACTGGCCTGTGCACCAAAGGGTCCCAAGTTTGATCCCCAGTCAGAGCATGTGTTTGGACTGCAAGCCAGAACCATGGTTGGGGGTGTGTGAGATGCAACTGATCCATGTTTCTCTCACACACTGATGTCTCTCTCCCTCTCTTTCCACTCTCTAAAAATAAAATAAATAAATAAATAAAACTATTTTCTCATTAGTTTTTCTTTTTTAAAGAAAACTCTGGATACAGACTACAAGTCTGGCAATAAATGAAGAATTAAAGAGGTTAGAGAATGAGAAGTCATCTAAGAGAAAGGCACAGCAAAGAATAGGAGAAACATTCAGAAGAATGGATGGCAAGGTAAGGAAAGTGCAGTTTACAAAAACTCGCCTTGTTAAAAAGATGGGCATACTGGCTCTGATTCAATAGTAGCAAAAAGTCAACACGAGGGATAAGGCTCCTAGGAGGAAACTGTGAGTGTGTCTGAGGAAGGTGACTCACTGAGGCCTCAGCCCATCTCTCAAACAAGGCAGGCTTGGGGGCAGGTTTGTCGCTCCCACCTGGGTCCTGCTCTCACCTGCACAGGTACCCTGAGGATATGCTTGCTCCACCAGCCATGGCTCTCCTCCTTGCTCCAGAAGGGAGATGACCTCGGGCTTGGCAATCTGATTACCTGCACATGAAGAAACACAGGACTTGTGTCACCTAGACAGCCTTCTTTGCCTCTTCCTCACCCACTCTCACTTGGGCAGAGTAAGCAAGGGCCCTCCTGCTTCCTGCTCTGGAAGCATTACATGCTTGAGCCTAAGGACTCAAGGTCACCTCTGCCCTCTGACACCCCTGTGAGCCTCAAGCACAAGATCTCAACATGAAAATCGCCTTATTTAATGGGCAGCATCAGTCTTACCCACAGAGAGCAGGTGCCCAAATGTCTCCAGCATCACATCCCGGTACAGCGTCCTCTGAACAGGGTCCAGCTGCCCCCACTCCTCCTGGGTGAAGTCCACAGCCACATCCTTGAAGGTCACTGGTTCCTGCAAGAACACACAGGTTCCTCCTCAGTCTGAGGCCACCCTCTCCAGTGTTTTCTGAGGATGGAATGAGACTGACAGTCCTGAGGACTGGAGAGGACACAGGATGAAAACCAAAAACCCTGGATATCACCAATACTCTGATGGGGGCCAGGGTTGCACTGTGAGCACTTCAGGCCCCATGTCTGAGATGTACTCAGGGAATTGGATATGTAGCCACAGTAACTATGACAAAGAGGAGGTTGTGCTGTCTGCACTTCTCTATTCGAGGTCCCATTTAAGTAAGATGTTGGCATTACCCAGAAAGTAGAAGCAGCAGCAATCAAGGAAACAAGCCTGAGCAGGTCTGCGGGAACAAACCCAAGAAATGGGCATTGATGTGTCCAAGGTTGGGGCCAGTTTCATCAGAGCAGGTTTGTGGTCAGCAGTTTCCCGTGCCCGTGTAGAGTCAGGGAATCAAGCACCAGGCCAACACCCCTTCTCTGGAGGTGCAGACGCTCAGCAAGGCCAGGAGCAGGCAGATTCAGGCTTCAAGCATGGGCCAGACCACAGACCCTGGGGCTGGGCCCTGGAAGGGAGACCTGAACATTCACAGATCGTGCTGCTGGCCATGGCAGGAATTCTCTTTTCCCAGGTCACCTCTGTCCCAAAGATTGGAGCCAGGGTGGGATAGGATTCAGCCAAAGAGAATTAGTCACAGTTGATGTCAAAAGTGCTCTGAGTTTTAAAAACTCCAAACTGATGTTTTTACAAAAACGGAACAAGGAATATTCACTAGAAAACAAGTGAAAAGATGAATTGTAAGTCTGATTTTGGCAATGAATGTATAAGTCATAGTCCTTTTTAAAAAAAAGATTTTAGTTATTATTACAGAGGGGAAGGAAGGGAGTAAGAGAGGGAGAGAAACATCAAAGTGTGGTTGCCTCTCGCACGTCCCCCACTGAGGGCCTGGCCTGCAACCCAGCATGTGCCCTAGACTGGTAATCTTTTGGTTCACAGGCTAGCGCTCAATCCACTGAGCCACACTAGCCAGGGCTCACAGTCCTAAGAAATCACGGTGAGCCTTGGGGTTGCAGGCATTTCTCTGGGGTAAGGGCAGGCTTCCTCTGGTGGTGGTGGCAAGGCAGCAGCAGGGTCGTGTTGTACACCCTGCAACCCCCATTCACATCTAGTACCCCTCTTGGCCTGTCTGTGCACTTGGCCTCCCATCCACCTGGAAACTGGTGTTCTGGTCTCCCGTGTGAGTGCAATTCCACTCAGCCCCATGACTCTCCACCCTCCCCTCACAACTGCATTATCACCTCCTTTCTACCCTATGACCAGCCTTTCTGCCCCTGCAAGCCATCTCTGATCAGGGCTGGCTCTCCATGCTGCTCTTTCTCTGTCCTGAACAGATCCCCCTCCACCTTCACATTGCAACTGGCTGAAAGCACAGGGCTGTTCTGCTCCTATGATACCAACTCCACACATGCATGGGAAAAGTGCTGACCACAAACCTTTGGGGAAACAGGCCCCAACCCTGGACACATCAATGCTAGTTTCTTGGGTTTCCTCTCACAGACCTGCATGGAACTCAATTTTCTTGACTGCTGCTGTTTCTATGTTCTAGATAATGCTAACATTTCATGCAAACGGGATCTCAGGCAGAGAGGTGTAGACGGCACAACCTCAATGCATGTTCACAGAGTGACCATACCTAGGGGACCCACCGAGAGGCCATTCTCATTTCACACTACCTCATTTCCTTACGTGGCTTCCAAGTCCAACTCCCATCCCTCCTGAGACCCCAGTGGAAACCCTGCACACACACTTTAAAAGAAACAGAAAAGCCCTGGCCAGGTGGCTCAAATGGTTGGAGCATTGTGCCATACGCCAATAGGTTGTGGGTTTGACCCCCGTTTGAGCGTGTATGGGAGGCAACCAATTGATATTGTCTCTTTCTCCCCCTTCTCTCTCTAAAATCAATAAACATACCCTTTGGTGAGGATTAAAAATAAATAAATTTTGCCCTGGCTGGTGTTGCTCAGTGGATTGAGTGCCAGACCGAGAACCCTAAGGTCACTGGTTCAATTCCCAGTCAGGCCACATGCCTGGGTTGCAGGTCAGGCTCCCAGGTGGGGGCATGCGAGAAGCAACCATTGTTTCTCTCCTTTTTTTTCCTCTCTTCCCTTCTCTCTAAATAAATAAATAATATTAAAAAAATAAAGCAGACAGGGAACTTGACAACAGATGAGTCGGGCTGACACAGGTACCTGCTAACCTACCCATCATCTGTAGATGAGACAACTTAACACCCTGGACCCACTGACACCTCTACTGGTAGGAGGACCCAGCACCGCCTACAAAGTACTCTTGCCAAAGCACAAAACCTGAATCTACTCCAGCTTCCAGGCCAGCATGGTTACAGCAGATAAATGGACAGGGGACTTATCAATGGTAGCATGAGGGCCAAACAAGGCAAGCCACAGGGCTGGAGACCTGGTGTCTTCAGCAGACAATACACGTGCAATGCATGACCCTCGTTTGGTCCCGGATTCAAACCAACAATAAAGACATTTTCAGGACATGTGAAGGAAAAATGAACATAGACTGGGTATTAGGTCGTACTAAGAAATCAGTTAATTTTATTGTGTATTTTGGCTATTTTGTAAAAGATAGGTATCTCTTAGGTAAATAACCAAAAGCATTTACAGGTAAAACATATCTGAGATATGCTTGAAAATACTTTAAGGCTGTATGTCGAAATTGATAGAAAGGCAGAAAGCTGAATGCTGACAGTGGCTGAAGCTGGGGAATGTGGGTACCTGTGATTGGCTACAGTCTCCTCAATTTGCCCTCCACGTCCTCATCTCTAGAAGCAGACAAAAGGGACTTTGCGGAGATATGATTAAGGAGACTGAGGTGGGGCCCTGGCAGGGTAGCTCAGTTGGTTAGATCATCATCCCAATATGCCAAGGTTGTGGGTTCAATCCCTGGTCAGGGCAAATACAAGAAGCAAACAGTGAATGCATTAGTAAGTGGAATGACAAATCAATGTTTCCCTCTTTGTAAAAACTCAATTAAATAAAAGGAGACTGAGCTGCGATGAGCCAGGTGGGCTCACTGTCATCATAAGAGTCCTTGTGAAAGAGGCAGACCACAGGGTCAGAGCACTAAAATGACACTAGAAGCGGAAATCAGGTGATGCACTGTGACAACAAAGGAGCCAGGAGTCAAAAATATGGATGGCCCCTTGAAGGTGGAAAAAGCAAGGCAGCTCCAGAAGGAACGCAGCCCTGCCAGAGCAGGAGAGGGAATTCATGTTGTTCTGAGTCATTAAGTTTCTGATGATCTGTTACAGTGGCAACAGGAAACAAATACATGCTTCATGGTCCACCCCTGGGTTTAAAAACCTCCTAAACTTAAGACAAGGTTTTAGTTTTCATTTTTAATCTTCACCTGAGGATATGTTCTTATTGATTTTTATTTTTATTTCTTTTTAAAAACTGCTTTTCTTTTTCTAAGATTTTATTTATTTTTATTTTTATTTTTTAATCAATGTTTTGGGGGTTTTTAAAGATTTATTTATTTATTTATCTTTAGAGGGGAAGGAAAGGAAAGGAGAGAGATATCAGTGTATGGTTGCCTTTCGTAGGTCCCCTGCTGGGAACTGGCCTGCAACCCAAACATGTGCCCCAACTGGGAATCGTACCGCAATCCCTTGGTTCGCAGGCTGGTACTCAATCTACTGAGCCACACCAGCCAGGACTTGTTTTTATTGTTTTTTTAGAGAAAGAGGAAGCAAGACAGAGAGAGAAACACCAATGTGAAAGAGAAACATTGGTCAGCTGCCTCCCACAGGTGCCCCAACCATGGATCAAACTCGCAACCTAGGTATGTGCCCTATGCACCGTGCCACACACCAAAAGGCTGCAGGTTCCATCCCCAGTAGGGGCATGTAGGCAACCAATCAATATTTCTCTCCCTGTCTCTCTTTCTGAAATCAAGAAACGTATCCTCAAGTAAAAGAAATATAGCAGAAAGTGAAAAGAGCCATGGATACATGGTCATTCGTTCCCTCCTAGAAGGTGAGATGAAAGTGATACCCCCAAGGAAGTGGAACCCAGGAGAGGCCCTGACCTCTGAGCTTATGAATACGGTGAAGGTACAAGTCAGTCAGGCTGCATACAGATGAGAGAAAGGTATGTTTGTGAGAGCTCTGCCAACCGCCCCTAGCCCCTAGCCACTCCACCTGCGGGCAGCACCACCAGCAGCCCTAGCCTTTCGGATTAGAGTGTAGGTGGCAACACCTGAGGAGCAGAGACCTCTTCAGCCCAACATTGGGAGAGGGGAGAGCGTCAGTGGCCTAACAGGCCAGCTGCATCCTGGAAGCGGAAGCAGAACCAGCCTTATGACCCTGGCCCACCCAGGCCCATGGAAATTAGAATGAGATTATCAGGAGACGACAGGGAGGGAGGCAGGGAGGCCAATTAGGAACCGGACTTAACTGAAACACAGCCTCACAGCTCTTTACCGGTAAACACACACTGACCACGGAAGCCCTCAAGACATGACCAAACTTGGCACCAAGAAGACACAGAATCAAGGCAGCTGACACACAGAACGTCAATGAGCTACAATTCCAAGTCTCAGACTGGGAGATTCAGGTGTAAAACAGAGCAGGATGACAAAAGACAAGCCGAGGGAACAAGAAAGAATTTATAGAATACTAAGAGAAGACATAGCGATTGCTTTAGGAAGCTCTAGGAAGAAGTCGTGGTGATGAAAATGCTGGCCAGGCTCCCCAACTTCCCATCACCACCAAGAAAAAGACATGAAATATAGAGTGTACAGAGACACGCAGTTCATTCAGGATGCACCCCATCTAACAGAAGACCCCAGAAAGAGAATATAAAGAAAAAGGACAGAAGAAAAATTTTAAATACAGGACTTCTTTTAAAAGAGACACAAAAACACTACACATGCAGACAGATGTTTGACGTATAATGAAAAACATTTAAGTGATAAAAGACATCACAAAGCTAAGATAAGCTACAGACTGGAAGAGGACCATATCCATCTGGATCAAGACTAGAATGCACAAAAAAGCCCACAGTTCTGTAAGTCACAGCTTGCAGAAATCTAGGAATAGAATAGAGCCAAAGAGAAGGAAATACAGCCTGTCAACGATGACATAACAGGTTATTCAACCTCACTAGTAATAAAAAAAATGAAAATTAAAGTAATACAGCTCTTGAGGAGCCGTTGAGAACTGGCTTTGTCTCTTTAGAACCACACGGCAGTACTAGTCATATGGAAAACAGACCCTAAAATTCAGAAAACCCCTCAGTAAACACTTGTACGTGTGCACAAGGTGAAACTACAGGAACATCCACACAGCTCGGGGTGGAAGAACAAACCTGATGGGGGGAGGGCAGGCTTAGAAGCCCAATCATAGAATTAATAGAGTCCTTGTCTCTGATGGGGCAAAAGGAACGAACCTGAACTCTTATCTAGGACCTCAACATTGACTCAGCATGCAGAGAATGCTGTAGAATAGCTACATGCATCAAAAGCATTAACAAAAAAAAGAACAGTCTCATTATCTATTATGTCTATATAGTTTATTTGCATGAGTATGCAAATGAATTAGCTGCATGCACACCATGAGCTGTCCTGAGGGTGGAAGCTAATGATCGGGAACTACATAAAAAAAAAAAAGCAAGTATGACCAAACATTAAAAATTGCCAATTCTGAGTGATGAGGGTCATGTTTTGTTCACTTGTTATTTTTCAGTAATTACGGAATTTGTCAAAATACTTTAAGAGTGCCCAGAACTGAAGACGTTGCCAAACTGGAAGGGCTATGGACTAGCAGAGGGGGAAAAAAAGACCCCCAGATGAACATGCCCCAATGCCAGAATCCACAGTTCATGGAGGGTTCAGTGATGTAACAAAGAAGGCAAACCTGAGGCTGGTGATGAACAGTAGGGAAATGACAGACGAGTGGAGACAAGAAAGACCCTCCTAGGATAGGAGAGGAGCTCCAGGTTTCACTGCTACCTGAAACTTTGGGATGAGAGAACAGGACTGAGAAGGATCATGCCACAGAAAGGGAGAGCCTTTCTTTCGAGTCCATAGGTAACGCTTACCTGACACCTTGCACTTTCCAACATCACCTGTTTCTTAATGATGACTTGCAAAGATATTTCACCCAGTCTTGCAAACACGTGTTTATCTAGGCATTCTAAAACTTTATGGACTGTAACCCAGGAGCTGCATGTTTAAGCCATTCAAGGGTCTAGGGGAGGCTGCAGAAGGTGCTAAGCTGGGTCTTAGCCATTGCCTGACAGGATCTCCTGGGACTGCTTCTACATTACCTGAATTCTCTGACAGTGACCCCTACATGGAGCCTGGGAAATTCAGATGGCTTCTTTGAAGTTTCAGGATTTCATTATTTACTAATATTTAGAAAAGATTTATTTATTTTGAGAGAGAAGGGAGGGAGAAAAAGAAGAGAAACATCAATGTGTGGTTGCCTTTCGGCACGCCCCCTACTGGGGCCCTCAACCCAAGCATGTGTCCTGACTGGAAATCAACTGGTGACCCTTTGGATCATAGGCAAGAACTCAATCTACTGAGCCACACCAGCCAGGGCTCATTATTTACTAATATTTTAGTGCAGGATCTTTGCAAAGATGAAAAATATCACTAGATTGTAATTTCTTGACACAACCAAGGATGGGTGTAGAGTATCAGGTTACTGGCATTTTACATGCATATTAATTATGCAGAAATTGTTGATGGAGTATTATAGAGGGGTTTGAGAGTTTCCATATTTGGGGGGCTGGCTGGGGCTTTTAGATAGGCTGGAATATTATTTTCCCTCTCCCTTAAAGTAATGGGATTTGGCTGAAACATATTTCCCAGAACAGACTCTTCAGATAACAAGGGAGGACAGCATTTGATGTTTTCACCAAGTGAAGCTTTATTTCAGGAAATACTTAATTTGGAGGAAACAATAGAGGAATATGGGGCTCTTGTTGCTTAATATAAAACTCATAATTCAAGTCTTGAGTTTCCCACAGGAAAAATCCAAAGTGAGTGTGGGGTGGGGGCAGGAGCACATTCTCAGAATTCACAACTCTTCAGACATTGGACAGTGTTATTATTTCAATTCTCCATTTCATTTTCTCATCATTAACTCTACTAATTCTCAGAAACCCTCACCTATATTGACACCAGAGTACTGCACAGTGGTTATTGGGGCTTCCTCATAGCAATTTATTACAACTAACTTCTGTTCCCAAGAAACTGATTGGGGGCCCATCTTTCAGCCCAACCTAGCTTGTCTGCTGTTACAGGATCTAAAAATGACTGTGCATTATAGCAGCAGCAAATATCACAGCCACCAAGTCCTGACACCAGGCAACCACCACCCAGATCCACTCAGATCAGGACTCTGACTTCCTGGACAGCAGTGCTGGCACGTGGGGTGGCAACTTACCGTGCACTTCACCAGTCATCTTAGAAACAGTGGGAGGTTTCCTTAATCTTTTCAATTTGGAAGAGGGCATGAAGTTGAGTCATTTTAGTATTTTTGTATCACAATATCTCACATTTGCTTGATTCATTATTTTAATTTAGAAATGAATAGCCTAAATATAATAATGAAACTATTTTTCTTTGTCTTTCACAGCCTGGGGTCAATAGAATAAACATAAACATTTGATGTATTAGAATGAAAATCTCTCATTTAGAAATACAGAAACAGAAAATAGTGAGTTAAAATGGGTGCCTGAGTCATGAAAAGAAATATTAAAACATGCTACATCAATAACCCTTGAAAACATGCTAAGTGACAGAAGTCAGACACAAAACGCCATATATTATGTGATTCTCTTTATACAAAATGTCCAGAATCGACAAATACATAGAGAAGTTTAGTGGCTGCCAGGGGCAGAGGAGGGGGGAATGCGGAGGAACAACTAATGGGCTTAGGGTTTCTTTTAGGGATGATGAAAATATTCTAGAATTAGATATTGGTGATGGTTGTGCAACTCTGTAAATATACTATAAACCACTGACGTATACATTTTAAAAGGTTAAACTTCACGGTATATGAATAATATTTTAATAAAGCTGTTACAATTTTTTTTCCTTAAGTGGCTGCCTCTAGTGAGGAGGCTGGGCAGGAAGAAGGAAGAGAGATGACACCTCTCCGAATTATCAACTCTATCCTTTTTCCCTCAGGAGTCACCTTTGTGTCCTTTTAGTCACAAATTTCGACTCCCTGCTTTGACTCCCTCATACACTTCATATCTCGCTCCCAGGCCCTGGTCACACTCAAGCCGGAAATGCCACCCTGCTTCCCACACCTCCACCAGGGATACCCTGTCGAGCTACACAGCAAACCCTGGCATCTCCTGCTCCCAACACTTCAGAGACACATTATCACCAGGATGGAACTGGACTGGATTCATCCTGGCCTCCCCAGCTCAAAGTCTAACTGGAGTCAGGGTTCACCCAGACCCCTAACATGCAGTCCCCCTCACCCACTCTTACTGTGGTGCTATAGCAGGACAGACCCCTGCTCAACATGCCAGGCTCATCCAGCTGATCCTCCTGTCTCCTGGGCAGCCTCCCTCACCACAGCAAAGGATCCCAGCTGCTCTGTGCCCCATGACCTCTGGGCGCCAAGCCTCCCAAAGTGCCTCAGGCATCTATCCCGAACCACATGTGCAACATCAGGCAGGCCAGGAGGCCTCAGTAGCTGAGTGAAGCACCCTGAGAGCTCCTTAGGACAAGAGCTCAGACTTGTCCTTGTTCCCCTCTCGGCCAGCACAACACTCACCAGACATCAAGCCCGAATCCAGCACTGGTTACATGAGGGAAGGTGGGAAGAGAAAAGTGGGGGGGCTGCCAACCAAGGGTGTTGCCCCTCATTCATCAAACAACCCACAGCATAGCTATGGCTCATGACTGCGAAAAGCCTGGTAGATAGCAAGGCTCCGAGTCATGGAAAACTGAATCTTCTCTGTCTGTCCTCAGAAAGTGATAAACTTCTGACTGATTCCATCTCTACTCAAACTAGCTGTTGTAAACTGAGGAACCACAAGGACTGGGATGGCTGGGGACAACCTGGGCAACTCAGAGGACAGAGCAGCCCTTCAGGAAAAAGTGGAAGCCCCATCTCACCTGGACCTGGGCTGTTGGGAGCCCGGTGGCCCTCCTCCCTTCCTCAGGGGTCTCCTCCACATGCCAGGCAGAGTCCTGAGGATACAGAGCTGAGGGAGGAAAGCAAAGTCACAGAAGCAGCTCTCCCTACTGGAAGTGTGCCCACTTCAGTCCTTCCTCCTGGTGGGGTGCAAGAGAGGGAGCCCCGGCTCTTCCCAAAGGGCAAGGGGAGAGACCCACCTTCTCATTTTATAGATGAAGGAAAGGGGACTCTAAGAAGGTAAGGAATGTGCCTAAATGCATGAATCTACACTGTCCCCATTTACTCTGAGGTACTGTCTCTGAGAAACGGTGTGCATTCACAGCCGTACTAGGCCTGAATCACCACACATTCATTGTCATGCACCTTGTCCTGGAGATGTCAGCACCACTTCATGCCCCGGGCGGAGTGTTCTGAGCCCTCCCTGTTCCAGCTCTGCACAGAGACAGATCTAGACCAGAAACCCCCTACCCTAAAGCCCCACTTGGCTCCCCTGGTTGGATCCCCAGCCATGGCAGGTCACTGCTGGAAGAGGTCACACTATGGCAGCCAATGCGGTCGATGGAAACACAGGCTCTTGACTCACCCCAGGAGGCCCACGGGTCAACAGCTGCCATCCCCCAGGACTGGTTCGTAAGGACACCTGCACCAGAAGATGAAGTTAGAACAAGGAAAGGAGAGGCACTGTGATGCCAATCCCAGTGACTAAAGGCAACAAAATGGAAAAGGAGGCCTCTCTCACTAATGGGCATGACAAAGTTCCATAAATAATCCCAAAGGCACATGCAAAGATCCACCACAAAAAACCAACTTTATACCAGAAATGCACAGGTGGATCACTGTCAGAAAATTTACCAATATGATATAGACACAGAATAATTAAAAACAGAACCCCTCAAATGGCTAAGGAGGCTTTCTCATGAAATGTTTAACATAACCTAGCTTTTTCAAAGATTTTATTTATTTATTTATTTATTTTTAGAGAGAGGAGAAAGGAAGGAGAAAGAGAGAGGGCAAAACATCAGTGTGAGAGAGAAACATAGATCAGTTGTTTCTCGTATGTGGCCCAAATGGAGACAGAACCTGCAACCCAGGCATCAAACGTACAACCTTTTGCTTTGTGGCATGATGCCCAACCAACTGAGCTACGTGGGTCAGAGCAAACATAACTGAATGTTCTTAAAAAATGTAAATAATAGAAAGATACAACCTCAATGTCTTTGGTGACAAATACCTGAAACTTCACTTAAAGGAAATATACACCTCTGACATCGCACTACTATTTAATATTACTCTTAAATTACAGGTCAATGCTATGTAAGTGGAAAACAACAATAAAATTAAAATACAGTAGTGGTGAAAATTTTTTGATTTTGTATGGCTGTCTTCTAAGAAATCCCACGAATAACCAGAAAACCTTTTTTAATAAAACATCTCAGGAGACAACTATAAAATGTGTAAAAATTACATTGTCTTTTACACCAAGTTTCCCCTTTCACCAATAACCAAGTTTTCTAATTGTGTACCAAAACAAACACCCATACGCTCTCAGACCCCACTCCCCCAGCTCTGACCGTTGGCTACAGCAAGTCATTGCAGGGAAGGCCCAAAGTTAATAGGACTTGGACTCACCCCAAGAAGCCCACGGGTTGACGGCAGACATCCCGCAGGATGCGTGGACCAGGCGCCTGCACTGGATTCCGGTTCAGTACCGGGAGCAACTTCAATCCCAACCTACGACAAAAGTGAAAAAGACAAGCGTAGTCCTTTCTCACAGAAAATGCAGTGGTAACATATATGAGAACTCAGCCACAGAAGCAAAAAAGTCCTAGGGAGAGGCATAAAAAAATGAGTTTAGCCCCGGCCGGGCGGTTCGGTTGGTTAGAGCCTATCGGGACGATGCTCCAACAGAGCCACCCCACCAGAGCTAACACGGTTCGTTTTAACTTGTCTCCTCCTGGTACGAGGCCCAGACCGCTCCCCACTCCCAGGTTCTGGATCTTTGTGCCAGTCGTGCGACCTGTCAGGGCACCAGCGCCAACTGGCAGGGGCTCTGCGGATTCCCGGATCTGTGAATAACGTACCGGGAGCGGTGCCAACACCGGGAGCAGGCGAACCGCCTTGGGGACCTCTGTTTGCAACTTGACAAAGTCCCGCGGCGACTGCGTGTCCAAGGGAACCCAGCGGTGTTCCCAAAAGCCCTCGTCTGACGTCCTTCCGCGCTTTAAGCGAACTAGCCAGAAAGCGAACGCCCGCTAGCTGTGAAATGTGGGTGTTCCTCACCAGCGGCTCCGGAGGCGCCCCCCTCGTCCGCTTGCTGGCCTTGCGTCCCACGTTCCCACCCACAATGCAAATGCCACGTCCGGGAACGCGCACCGGTGAGCGGTCCCTCACCTGGTCCGCAGCTGCCTGCCGGCCTCCCGCTCCGGGCCCGGTCGCGCCACGGCGCTTTCGGAGGCGGCTACGCGGGCGCTAGGCTGGACGCCCGGCTTTTGTCGGGCTCCAGGCTCGGCCGAGAGCGCGCGGCCTCAGGGACAAAGACGCGCTGGGCTGGGGCCGCGACCCGGCGCCACGGGCCGTCCCGCCGGACTAGCGCTGCCGCGAGCCCTGAGGCGAAGGGAATAGGGAAGCGAAGCCGACGCGAAAGGGCAGGCGCAGAACCCGCCCGGGCGCCGCGCCGGCCCCGAAAAGAAGCGCCGCCTCTCTGTGCGTTCAGCCGACTCTCCGCACCCCCTCCACCGGCGCGACAGCCTCACCACCGCCGCGGACAATGGCGACCTCTCCCACCGCTTCGACCAAAACGCGACGCGCGGGTTGCTGGGAGTTGTAGTTCCAGACGGCGTACTTCCGCCTTGCGGGAGAGCTCAGGTAGGGCAGGTTCCCCTGGGCTTCTCCGCCCGGAGTTTCTCCGATTGTAGTCCTGCCTCCCCACGGGATACTGGACCCCGGGGGCTGCTCCGTTCGCAGGTGGGCAGTACTATTCCTGCCCCAAACTGCCCTCCACCAACGCTGCCCAGTTTGTCAGCGGAGGGGGGGGTGTCTAAGTCAGGCCCCCAAACCCCCTCAGTTTGCTCATCTGTAAAATGGCAGCTCATGGCAGCCACACTGAGCAACAAGAACTTGGTGAAGTTACAAGTGTGGGTGAAAGAAGTGCTCTATGGAAAGTATCCTCACAGAGTGATTTGATCATAAATTCCTTACTGGGCAGGTGTTCTGGATGGTCAGGCCCTAACATGTAACTTCTTTAGTAAAAGGCTTATCTTTGCCTTTAGAAAGCCCTGTCCATTCTTCTTGTGCATCTAGGTTAACTCACCTTAGAAATAAGCGTGACCACCAGAGAGCATACAGTTGCCTTCACTGTCTTGTAAAATAATCCTCACATATTTTCTCCCACTTTCATTACATCTCCTTCATTTCAATTGCTTAAGAGAAACTGGGAAACTGTCCTTTGAAGCATCTGAGATCTTGTTTCCCAGCAATGTCATCACTTTGGGTTCACATAAACTGTTTTCTTTTTTATCCTCACCTGAGGACGTGCTTATTGATTTTAGAGAGGGGAAGGGAAAGAGAGAGGGACAGAAACACTGATGTGCGAAACATGGACGGGTTGCCTCTGTTTGCGCCCGGACCACACCCCCATAGTGAGGTGAACCTGCACTCCAGGTACGTGCCCTGATCTGGAATTGAACCCACAACCCTTCAGTTAATGGGACCACACTCCAACCAACTAAGCCACACTGGCCAGGGCACAAATTGTTATAAAAATTCTTTACAGATTTGGATGTTCTACACTGACACAAGATTGTGAAGAAGAGGCTGTTATACCCTTTTCCACATGAGGAACCCAATTTTGAGCTTTCCCTTGAATATGAAGCTCTATTGCTGAGAGCATCAGAGCTTGTTCCCCAGATACTCTCCAGATGACAAAGCTTTATGGAACTGTAGGTTGTCATTGACCTTTTCTGTGTTTTTACCCCCTTGAGTTAACACATTGAGTGGTGCTGAAGAACAGAGCAGAAAACTAAGCCAACAAAACCCATCTTGGCGAGCTGCCAATCAAGGCCACCATTCAAAAGCACTGGCGGACAGGGAGAAAAGGGTCCTCACCCAGCACGGAAGGGATCCCCTGGGCACGGGGTCCCTAGCCTCCAGCCCTAACTGGGCCTGGAATCTCTGGTGGCAACGACCACCAACAGCCCTTTGGGGCCCTCAGAGCCTCCTTCCCAACTGTGTTGGGGCTGACCCTCTCCCAGACCCTTTCTTCTTGCTCCCTATTTGCCTTGCCTGTTCCTTTTCCCACCTTCTTTTGGACGGCATGGTGGTCAGAGAGCCAGTGGGGACTGGAGGGCAGAGCCTCAGCGGCTTCATGATGGCTCTGGCTTTGAGTGAAAGGGAGAGCCAGGGCATGATTCTGAACAGAGAAGTGATAAGCCAGCCTCATCAAAGGATCAATCTTGCTTCCCCGTGGAGAAGAGACAGAGAGGGAGGGAAGGACTAGTGACTCAAGAAACCAGCCCTGGCTGGTGTGGCTCAGTGGATTCATTGCTGACCTTCGAACTAAAGGGTCATTGGTTCAATTCCCAGTCAGAGCACATGCCTAGGTTGTGGGCCAGGTCACTGGTGGGGGCGTGCAAGAGGCAACCACACACACTGATGTTCCTCTCCCTCTCTTTCTCCCTCCCTTTCCCTCTCTCTAAAAATAAATAAGTAAAATCTTAAAAACAAAAACACAAAACTAGTGCCGTTATGAGAGAGGATGGCAGCAGCTTGGATCAGAGTGGTAGTGATCGGTGGTCATATTGTAGACATTAGTACTTTAAAGGCAGAGACAACAAGTGGTTGGTTCAAGGTTTTGCATCATGGCGTGCAGTTCAGCTTGTAACACCATGAACTGGGCAGGGCATAGAGGCGGCCTCTCAAGTTGGAGCTGTTCATCAAAGGCCCTGTTGGGTGGGGAATGGGTCACAGGTATGTGCAGATAACGGGGTTGGGGTCTTCCCTCTGACCCAAACCCTCTCCCACTATAGTTGTCCGAGTTGTGCAGGATAGCACCATTCTCTCTGTGCTATGAGGTGGCAAAAACTGGGCTGCACATCACCTTGAGTGCCTCTACTAGGGGTCTGAGCTGCCACTGAGGCTTCTGAGTGGGAAGACCCCAGAGCAATAGGAGAATGTAGGCTTTCCCAGGACAAGCCCTTTGTCTGAGAGATGCACAGAGTGGTCACCCCATGCCACAGGAAGGGCTCCAGCTCATTCCATTTCGTGATAGCCAGATGAGAATAAAAGGTAAAGGGAGGGGAGCTCAGAGCACATTACTTGGAACAAGTCAGCCATTGTATGAACTCGGCCATAAAATAACGAACACAAGTAAGCTCGACTTAAAGTTACCTTGTGCTCTCAAACCCATGGATTAACTCATGTTCACCAGCTAAGAGTTTAGGAGTCACTAAGTTGAACATGATGAGATTCTGAGTCTCTCCCCAACTGGCCTCCACCACACACACATGGAAATCAACATGCTTCTGCATCGGTTGTGGCCAGGTGGAAGCTTCCATAGCTCTTCTGGGTGCCTCTGCCACCAACTCCACATTCAGCCTGCAATTTTTCTCATCTCAGATTTAATGTTAGAGAGCTGATCATCTTTCTTTTAAAACAATGTGTAAAACATAATAAAGTTGTAAGGAAATCAGTGAAACCCTGTGAATGCAGTCCTTGGCCGAAAAAAAAAGAGAACATTTTACTCATGCAATGGGAACCCCTGTCTTCTAATCTCCAATAGAAACCTCTTTTTCTCCAGAGGCAGCCACTATCCTGAATAAGAGGTGGGTCACTTCGTGTTTCCTGAAACCTTACAACACGTGTGAATTCAAGAGCAATACAAAACATTACTTACTTTGAAGTTTTGCATTCATATAAATGCTATGGATACCATAAGATTTTATATGCAACTTGAATTTTTTGCTCCATGTATTTATCATTGCAAGATTTGTCCTACTTGATATGCGAAGCTCTCTTTCATTTCTTTTCACTGCTGTAGAGTTTTAAATTTTATTTTTATTTATTTATTTATCTTTAGAGGGGAAGGGAAGGAGAGAAGGAGAGAAACATCAATATATGGTTGCCTTTCGTGCATCCCCTGCTGGGAACTGGCCTGCAGGGAACCGGTCTGCAACCCAGGCATGTGCCCTGACTGGGAATCGAACCGCAGTTATCTGGTTTGCAGGCCTGTGCTCAATCCACTGAGCTACACCAGCCAGGGCTATTTTTAATCCAAATAGTACAATTCATTGTAAATAAATTAAAATCATTTAGGAAAGGCCAGTGTGGCTCAGTTGACTGGAGCATCATCCCAGAACTGAAAGACTGTGGGTTCAGTTCCCGGTCAGGGTACAGATCTAGGTTGTGGGCATGATCGCACATGAGAGGCAGCGGATCAAAGTTTCTCTCTCACATTGATGTTTCTCTCTCTCCCTTGCTCTCTTTTTAAAAGCAATGGGGAAAAAAAATGTCCTTGGGTTAGGATTTAAAAAATACCACTCAGGAAGAAAGGAACAAATATTGCTTAAAATCCCACCATCCATGGATAAGTGATGTTAACATGGGTGGCATTCTCTCAGAGTTCCTCTGGGAGAAGCTTATGGTTGCATAGAGCTGGGACCACTGATGTTATTAATCTCATTTTGTCTCCCCCAAATGTGCCATTTAATTTCTGCAGTATAATTACAGACACATTCTCCTACTGCTGAGCATGTTTCCTTAGCATTTTGCTGTTGCAGATCATACCATAACAATGGTCCCATGACCTCAGGCTTTCATACCTGGGCAGTGACTTCCATGAGGAAATTGCAAAGGTGACATTGCAGAATCAGCTCATAAGCATATATTTGGGCACTTCCAACCTGACCACCCTATAAAAATGGTGCACCTATATAATCATTGCATGGGTGCTGAATAATAGGGTCCACTTCCCCATTATTTTTACCTACATCCAACATAAGTCTTTTTAAATCTTGGCCAATCTTTACCTGCCAGTTGGCCTCTTTGGACTACATGTTCTACATCTGTGAAATAGAAATTATAGAACTTCTCTCACTAGGATCGCTGTATTAAATAAGGTTATATAGCTTGAGTGCTTGGCATGCTGTCTGCCTCATAAAAGGTGCCCAAGTAAAAAAGCATAGCTTTCTCATCCTTATTTGCATTTCTTTGATTATTGATTAGATGCAAATACATGTTTTTATGTTATTTACTGTCCCTTTGTATTCCTTTTGTGAATTGCTTACTTATACACACAGACTAGTGAGCAACCTTGCCTTGGTCCCTGAGTGGAATGGAGATGGCTCTAGGTCAAGGACTGGCAAAGCATTTCTGGCAAAACTGTTGACTTTTCAGGACATCCAATCTCTAGCAACTACTCAACTCTTCCTTGCTAAATAGCTATAGACAACATAGAAGTGAATAAGTATGTACTATTTTCCGATAATACTTAATGTACAGAAACATGTAGGCTGGATTTAGCCAGTAGATTCTAGCTTGCCAATCTCAGTTGCAGAGACACCATTTAGCCTGGTATCTTCATACTGTAAAAATATTTTATTCCTGTTACCAGGTTCTGGCCTAAAATAATCAAATTTTATCAACTTCTTTCTCATTAATCATTGAGATGATTGGCTTTTGTTCACTGCTTAATTACAATGGAAAATTAAGTTGTATATATCCTAATGGGAAGAGCCACACGCGATTACTGGAGTTCACATTCCTAAATCTATGGGTTCTAGCTCTATGGTC